TTTATTCCAAGCAAGCAGCACGGCTCTAAATGAGACTTTAATTCATGCTCTCATTTTAAAATCATGTCAACTAAAAATAGAAAACAGAGGTGTGGAAGGGTCACGAAAACTATTTTTTTGCTAATTTACGATGTGGAAACAAATACCAAACCGTACTTTGATTGGCCCAGTTTGCGTGCGTTTCCTAGACAGAAATGATGCTAGATAGAAATAGAAACGCATTATTTTTTTATTTTGTTGGATTGGTACCCACTCGCTTTTTTACTGTCAAACGGTATGCCGTCAAATCAAACTACACCTAACCTGTAAAGTGTAAATAACGTAACGAGGAACTTGGCCGATCTTGTATTAAATTCCGATTAATTTTGAATGTATACTCCAAAGAAGTAAAACTTTTTTAATTTTACTTAGCGTAGTAAATAATATGCCAGCCAGTAATACCATTCTTGCTTACTTTTGAACTCCCTTCTCGGCCAGCCAGTTTTCCAAAATTTTGTACTCCCCTCGTACTTGTACTTTCGATTTTACAGGGCAGTAAATTAAACGTCGCTTCATTGGCAATCTCTTGGATCTCTGGTGAGGAGGGTACAAGAGACGTGTTTGTCATCCGTATTCATCATACTTCCGGCAGAAATGAATTATGACCAAATAATTAAAAAGTTTGAAGTTTGAAAATAAGGAATCAGGTTAGCCAACGTGAAAATAAATGAATGTGTCTATAACCAAACATACACGTGAATGATAGTTTAAACAATTCCTAAACAACGCCTACAAGGCAATATTTATAATTTGTATAATTTATTAATTTAAAATAAAAGTCGAAAATAGAAAAAAAAGTATAAAAGCACACGTGTCATTTGTCTACCTTGTCGCAAAACTCGGCTTGCCGGCATTGCCGCTACGCGGCTTTATGGCGGCAAATAACCTTCGTGCGACAATCTTTCGTCAAATGACCTTGTACTTTAATATAGCTATTTCTACACCCGAAACAGCAATTTTTTATGAAACAATAATTTCTTGGCAATTGTAGAGATGACTGCGAGAGGAAAAAATCAGTATTCCAATTCTTTAGAGAAAAGCATTGTGTTCCATAAATGGCTTCTTCATGAGAATATCAGAAGAAAAAAAAAACATTTCGCGGAACGGGTTTCAAGTTATTAAAGGAATTTTGATTTGTGAAAATTGCCGGTCGTTTTCCTTATACAACGCATCGCCCTCGGTAGTGACTCATTTTCGAAACCTCTCAAAGTTCCAGTTTAATTTCGTCGTTCTCACATCGTTAATCTAATGATCGGAAGTTCATTCACATTTCAAGCCGGCCGAAGGCGATCGTTTATTTTTGTTTAGAGATGTATTGGAATTGTTCGCCTTTCCGGTCGATCTCGTATTTTATAATAATTTTGGAATATCTGCGAAACGTTCGCAATTTGTACGTGAGTTTGCAAAAACGCGACCTTTCAAACACATATTTGCGAAACCGACGTAGTAGGGTTAGGTAATGATCGTTATGGAAAACCTGCAATCATTTGTGAAAGTCCCCAGCTAAAAACAATCTTGGTTATAGGCGACTGAAAATATGAATCCATTTGGTTGTGGCAAACCATTTAGCTAGGTGTAGATTAGATGAAACAATGAAAGATTCTCTACACTAGATAGACACCGCCTGTATAAATTTTAAATGCTCACCTTTGTCCGCAGGATAAGTCGACAGAGTCAATGTTTTTACCACAATAGTATCAATTATTTACTGCATTTACAGGCACGATATTAAAACAATGACTTCTTCTATCGATCAAGCGCGGCCTTGTGTAGGCGTATCGCATTCTTTCGCTCTTCTCCTCTAATTTAAATCACATCCCAGAACAATTGCAAAATTTATTTTTATTTATTATTTTTAATATTTTTTAGTAGTCAATAATAAACCAAATTTTAAAAAATTATCAAGACAAAATAAAATAAATACATTGACATAGAAAAGAAAGCGTACTGTAACGTAAATTTAATTACGTGAGTTATTTATTTACAATTAATTTACAATAAATTTATGACAGTCTTGAAATGAATTGTGTTATAACAGTTAAAATATTATTTATCACTTAAATATACGCAATTTATAACAGTGCGAACTATTTACTACTTTGGCATTGAAATTGGAACTGACTGAAACACAATTCGAATTGCTTATATAGCATACACCCCTGTTTCTCGAATGTTTTTGAACACCACCAAAGGAGTGTTCTAGAATGTTCTCGAACAAAACACGTCATATTTCCCGGAGAGAATGCGTCGCATTGTTACCACCGTAAATACAAACGGTCACATCCGCTTTCGTTTCATATCGTCGATGACTAATCTTTTATGGCGCCTCGATGTCTATCGGAATTTCTAAAATTTTCGCTACATAAACTTTTCACCTTTTAAAAAAAATGCAGAGAAATTCTTATACTCACTCTTCAGACAGTACGAGTATAATATATAAGTACGTAGTTATACAGGGTTTCCGGGACCGATCTATAAGAAAAATCTGAAAATTTCAGAATCGAAAAAGGGTGAGACAACGGATCATAAAAATTGCATTTTAGATGGTTTAGAACTTTCATCCATTAGGGAGTTTTGTTGGGTGGTAATACCCCCAAGTTTTAATTTAAATATTGCAGCTTTTGTCCATGTTTCACCTGAAACCCATTCCCGGTCTTATACCACTCGATTTTCTTTCTTTTGGGGGTTTGCAAAAATTAGAGTGTTTAAAACAAATCGAGAAACAATAAATGATTTGAAGAAACCACCCACATCACTAGGGATCTACGTTAAAGGGTTAAATGTCGTTGATCTTTAATGAGCATTTTTGATTTTTCAGATAATGTTTTGCTCGCTCCTTTTTTTGCGCCCCAAAAATTCCAGCGCCCTAAGTTCCGGCCAGGGTCCCGGTTTTGTGGTGAAATTTGGATTTCTTCTTTAATTTCTTTCTCGGCAACCATAAAAGTTACAAAGAATAAGGGTGGCACGTTTTTGAATATGTTTTCGGGTATGCCATCCGACTTTTAAAATTCTTTTTCAAAATTCAAAAAAAGGCGCACCGCTACTTGGAGGGTGAAAAAAAAATCTGATTTCGACGAAATTTGGTATATGGGGTTTTTGAAGATGAAAATCACAAATCTGGAATTACTTTACTGAGAATTCGAAAAAAAAGTGCCACTGACTGCAATTCTTTCCCGGACTACGAAAATGGAAAGAATTTCACTGAATTTGTTGTGTTCATACCCTGGTACATACATATACTTGATAAGGAACAACATTGTCTAATTTACGAAAAATCGTAAGAAGTAAGAAAAAATCGAGTTTTTTAGATCACCCACCCACCTAGCACTGGTCTTCAGTTTTAATAATCTTTATTGTCCAAACAGGTGTAATACAAAACCCTAGAATAGGACAAAATTATAAGTGAGAGAGTAAAAATTAATGAAGTAACTAACTCGTAAAAAAAAATAATAACTAAGTAATATAATTAAGAATGATAGGTAATGGAGTGTGAAAAATATCTACATGACTTGAAATATCATTATAGTGATAACACATTGTATAAATCGGTGAGCTTTGTCTGATATTGGTTCTACATCTTGGCAATTGAAATGTGATTTTATTCCTAGATGAGGGACGTGGTATATAAAATTTTATCGAGTTATGTAGCAAATTGCAGTCAGTTAGGTTGTGCACAAGCTTATATAGATAAGTAACAGCCATTCGCCTTCTCCTAACTACTAGCGGGACAAGATCAAAGTTTTCTAGCATAATTGCCTGGGGGTAGCCTCTTTCCGGGTAGTGACCATCCTTGCGGAAACACATATATTTAATAATTCTCCTCTGCACATGTTCGATGTCATTTTCGTACTTTTTGTACAGTGGACTCCATATGATTGCTCCGTATTCCAGTTTAGGTCGAACCAATGTTGTGTAGAGAGATTTAATTGTTGCGATGCTGGAAAATTCCGCGCTGACGCGTATAACATACCCCGCTACTTTCATTGCTTTATTTACCATGTCATTAATATGAAACGCAAACGTTCAACATATTATCAAAAGTGACGCCTAAATCTTTGACCATGGTGACTCTATTTAACGTTTCGTTGGCTATTGTATATGTATAACGAAGAGGTTGATTTTTTCGTGAGTATGACACCACTTTACATTTAGTAATGTTTAGGTTTGAGTTAAGCCACGAAATTTTGTTGACAGAATTTTGTCTGAAACAGAAAGATAAAAAGATAGTGAGAGAGAATTTTCGTTGCGTTGCATCTGACCTGTTACTGTAAAGAACCTTTCGAGTAATTAACGAAAATCTTAAAATTAAACCACTTTTGGAATAAGGATTATAGTTTCCAGAATAATTTTTCCGCTTTTCATTTTTTTGTTATTTTGCAATATAGCTAGTATGTGTATATCTATCATTTGTATACAATTCTAGATCATTAAAGAGCGCAAAACCCAAAATACACTTACACCTATTCAAGAATAGTCCCTTATTATTGCAAGCAATTTATCGTATGCGTAGGTAAAGATTCATTAAAAAATATAAGGGTGTATAATACAATACAGGACCTGAACACCCTCTAGAAGGGGAAGTATTTTCCAGACCGCCATAAGTACTTCTAAAAGTTTGTAACGCCTGACCAACCATACTACCATCTAACATTAACTACAGTATTATAGGTTCTTTATAAACCTTTTCCTACCATTGGTTGGGATTTCTCTGTGGAAAGAGTACTTAGAAGACACCGAAAAATACCATCAAAATCATAATTCTTTATTTTCCTCAGCATAACGAGTCTTTCTAAGGTCTGTATGCAGTATACTGGACACTATATACTGTGATTCATGCGCTATTATGTTACAATATTAATATTAAATCTGAAAAGTTACCAAACCATGCAATGTAACGGTTAAACAATGACAGTGTATTTTTCAAAATGTGGGTTCATTGTTAGAAATAACTGCATATTTACCTTTATCTTGGGCTGTTAAAAGGGATGATGATAGTGTCTGCTTAAGTTTACCGAAGGTGGTGCCACTGTCACCTCCATCGGTGGCCGTCCCTCCATCAGTTGGTTCAGCAGTCACCATCTAAAACAACAAAAGTACAGTTGGTGGTTGCATCAGCAAACTAGATTGTCGATATACAGAAAATCAAGATGCTAACCCCTTTTTGGCCAATTTCGACATATTTTGATCACCATAACAAACGCAACTGCTGAAATGGATTATGTTTACAACCCCCTCTGCTCTACCGTACGGGAGATATGGGTTGTTTACGTTCAGACTTCCGTAGGGTAGGGTTACTTATCAAAAGCGAGAAAATTGAATGCTTGGCTCACGGAAGGGTTCAGGAGCGGTGCCAACAATTTCGCGGTAAATTAAGTAAAAACCAGTGAAGTTTTTAATTTAAGAAACAAAATTTCCGTGAATTTCTTTCAGTAGCTACGATGCAATTTAGAGCTAAGACCAGCAGCTGTAATCTTCATCGCCGGACTATTATAAGGGAAAGTAATAACCGCAACTGTAGTCGTCGGTATGGCAAGTATTGCTGAAACCAGAAAGTCTACGTGAAAAAATAGCAAACAGTAAAACAAAATACCAAAAAGCCACAATAATATATTAAAACGCGTTTCAATAGCAAGACTGTCATCATCAGCGAACCACTCCGAAACGATAAATTGCTTTGTTTATCCCCGGATATTTTAAAATTGTAATTCAAAGAACGGAAAACGCAATGTTTCAGTTTTTTATTAATTACACAAAAAAACAACTGGTAATTTGAAAATAATAGCGCCAATACATTTTGATTCTAAATCAAAATAAAAATGTTGAATTCGTGATTACATCGTCACCCCACAGAATTACCAATGATTCGTTTACATAAATGTGTAAAAACGGCTGTTCGAAACAAAAAGTTCTGGTCTTGTATTGCGCATTAATTTGTTTTTGTAAAGAAAACCCGTGTGACAATGACGGTTCGGCAAGAAAATGAATGTCGATGGAGAGTAATTTATTTCGCCCGCGACGTCGGCGACCGTCATTTATTCTAATTCCCGATTTTCCTAAGTTAGAGTTTATTTTGTCAAGTGAAAAGTATGAAGCTCATTTAGGAAACAAAAGTGAAAGGAGAAAGATCCGGAAATTCTGATAATCAATTTAATTACGCTATCTTTATTGAAACTGACACATTTAACGCCCGCCGAGTTTAATTTATTCAACGTCGTATTCAAAACGCAATTAAGCTCGATATTATGAGAGTAGGTAGCAAAAAGTGGTCATAAGCCGTTGATTAATTTTAGTGGAGGATTGCCACCACGATTTCTTTCAACGGAAGAAGCACTAAGTACTTAGAGTATAGTAATTAAGGTACTCGAGGCGCATAATTGAGTTTTTGCATTTACGGGATCAAAACGGCTGATTAATATGCTGTATTTTTGGGAACAGACGTTGTTCATTTGCTTGTTTAATATAAAATTTCACTTTTCATTATGAATGTGTATGTTTCGAAATATGAGTCTGCTAAGTTGACAGGAAGCCGGAAAAGTAGTCAGGTGTACTCCGTTCAATAGTTATTGTCCAAGTACGTGGCAATGGAATGTTGTTTTTAGGTTTAATAAAATTAAAAATCCCTGTCGGAATCAGCTGTGAAGAAGTACAGGAGGGATCTAATTTGACTATTTGAGGTTAAACATGCAATGTTGTCAGTGCTTTCATACTTTGTTTGCCACTAGACCTAATATATTTGTATATCGGCGTCATGGATACGTAGGTATCAGTCAATTGTGATTTATAAAATTATAGTCCAGTATGCGGAGCAGTCAGAATGGCCGATTCCTACAAAAGGTGGTGTACACGATTTTATCATTTTAAATGGTCCATTTGGGTCCAAATAACATGTATTTGAAGAGTGCACACCAATTTTTTCCCGGCACAACTTTTGGCAGCCAAAAAACCTCAAAATGTTCGAACTTTTTTCAGTTTTTCGCTTAAAACTCGAAAACGGTCCATATTTTACTAATAACATTTCTTTGGTAAATTAAAGAAAACACAATACTGCGTCGATCAAAAGATGAACAAACAAAATCGGTCCAATAGAAAAATGTTTACAAGCGATCAAAGAAATCCCGTAAGCTCCCCGTCAATTCCTGGAGATCCACGGAAATCCCTGAAATCGGATATAAATCCTCAGAAATCCTTTCGAAATCTTCTTAAATTCTTCCCCATACTTGCTTTTGACACTCCATTCCAATACTTTACTACCGCCGCTTTTTCATATAGATTTATTTTTGAACGAGCCAAAGAAAGCTATTTCAGTGACAAAATGCAATTGGAAGGTAGACAAGGAAAGTCAGATTTTGACTTTTTCCATGTGAGAATGAAAATTAATTTAGAACGATCTCATGGGTCAAAAAATTGTAGTTCACATGTCATATTTTATCAGCAACGACTTCATTCGGTACGGCAAAACAAATATTGAAAGGTAAAAGTGACCGCATGTGCAGATAAGCGCATTAGGTGATTAATCTCTACCTGCTTACGTTATCGCCCCTCCTTCAAAAATATAACTTATGACCAAATCATTCGATCGTGTTAACGCGAAGTGCAGTGCATCTTGTGCGGAATGGTGTCCAAAAATTCCAAATGGTTCGAAGGAGAGTGCCTAGTACCGAAATCAAGTAAGCCAAGGGTGAATTTTGACAAGCACAGATTAGATACCGCGTAAAATGCAGTAAGTAATTTGGATTTTTACATTTAAACATTGGGCATACAATGCAAAATGATTTCGACAATAGGTAAAGTGTGACTAAATATTGTGTATGGAAATTTACCTCCACACATGTAATAACTGCCGTTAGTTTCAATCAATCATTTTCCAAATCAAAAATTTCTACACGACAATTACAATCATCTTATCTATCCGAGTCTACAATTGGAAACACATGTGCGATCCATTGCGTCGGCGGCGTCGGCATTTTAAACAGGTGTTTAGAAGTCTGTTGATAATTTCATTCTTAACAAAAACCGCACTTGCCTTTTTATTAGATTTAATAATAATTGTCGCAGAGTTTACTAATTTTGAATTAATTTGATACGAGTGAACCAAATACCTTCGCAAAATGAAATTGCTTGAAATCGAAACGCATGCAACTCAAGATTATTATGTGTCACCTCATGCCTAAAAACTGTACGAAAAGGGTGACTAGCAATTTCATTCTTTCTCTCTGTATTCATGTTAAATCCGGGTCCTTATTAGAGCCATTCAATTGGTCCAAAAATGCATTCAATATATCAACGTATTCACAAACTTCTTTAGAGTTGAAGAAAAGTGGATTTCCATTTTTCGCATATTCAGACCAGATAATTTTGTCTTGTTTCTTTTATTATTACTTCTTGCATGAGTGTTTAATGGTATTAGTCTTAGTAACTATGACAAATGGAACGATTGAACTTGCGGCTATACTCAGGTTTCGGGCATGCCTTTCTGATCTGTAAAATTCCTACCCAAGGAGGTGCTTTATTGATCCCCAAGGGACGTTGTAAAACACATTAGAAATACTGTAGAAAATTCAAAGTCATTAGCCCATTGCGTAAAGACGTGGTTTGGGTAAGTGTAACATCTAAAACGACAGTTTTAGAGATGTTTTAAATTTCGGGTGCTCCAACCACGCTCATTAAATTTGATATGAAAATTAACTACACATACTGTAGTTGAAGCGTGTTAGTGAATTTTGGAAATGAAATCAATATGCTGGTAACGCAACCACAAACGATGTCATTTGGGAATAGAAGTTTTGATGTGTTTTTTAAAGACAAGTTTCTTACAATTTAGAAATAACCTGAAATAATGTAGAAAGTCGAAAATGTCCAAAATCATTAGTAACTTGAACAAAAGACGTGGTTTTGGCAAGCATTACACCCAAAACAATGTTCTTAGGGACTTTACAAGTTCGGGGTTGCTTTTTTCATGACGCAGCACCTTACAATTTATATGAAACTTTCGCTTGCCAGTTATTAGACAAGGGGTAAGGCGGACTGACCTTTACGGCTTAAACGTCACAAATGCCGCTGCTTAGCGACATGAGGGCATCAGTTGCAGTGAAAGGGTGGTGTTGGGAGAGCCATTCAAGCAATTTGTCTTGTTCATTCCGGCTCATTCAATAATTTCCAACACATTTCAGAAATTGATCCAATTTTTAATTGTTGGTACTTTTTGAACTCGGAAGTCCTACAATCTTTAGGAAGGGGGTAGTGAATTTTATCGTTCCTTTAGGAGACAGCGCATTAAAAAAAAGGTTACCTCAGTTTTTTAGAAAAGTTGGAAAAATGGGTGTTCATTGATCGCTTTTAACAATTTTTCAATCAACAGGGTTTTGTTTTCTTTTTTTTTGAAGAAGTGTTATTCATAAAATATGGCGTTTTCGAGTTTTAAGCGAAAAACTGAAAAAAGTCCAAACATTTTGAGGTTTTTTGACTGCCAAAAGTTGTGCCGGGAAAAAGTAGTATGCACTCTTCAAATCCATGTTATTTGGACCCAAATGGACCATTTAAAGTAATAAAATCTTTTACACCACCTTTTTCAGGCCAAAATTATCTGCATACTGGAGTATTAAGCAAATATGCCAAAAATCATAAACTCAGATGCGAAAATGCAAATTTTAAAGGCCTAACAGGCATTACAAAGCAGACCTAAGGAAAGCGGAAACCTTAGCTCGGCTTAGTGACATTTGGGATGCATTAAACTTAACTTTTGGTCTAATTTTGGGGATTGTACCATTCTAGGTATCAGAAAAAACCATTGAACGAATTATCCGGCTGGATACTTTTGAATTGCAACCTTTTAGTCAACGACCTAAAACTGATGTTATATATAAAAATTTTTCATTTCGGGAAGATTTGCAACAACTGATTTGGAATTATCACTCGAAAAATGAACACTTTGGCTGGATTATTAAGGGAGCGCGGGAAAATTTTGATTTTGATAAGGGGAAAACTATTTTATATAACATTCTAAAATCAATGGGTTATAAATACAAACACGTAAATGGACGTAAAATTCTCTGTGAACAAAGACATGTTGCATCCAAATT